TCTAAACTCACGGGGTCATTCGATATAGGATGAGCTTATTCATGCTATCCGGTGAGACAAAGTAATATCAAAGAAGATGTTGGTTGAAGAATTCAAAAAGTCTGTCACAAAAATTCAATCCGAAATGGTCTTGAAAGCTGTTCATTTTGGATCGCTCGATTGTATCGTCTGTCAAAAAAAAGAACATAGTTTCATAGAGTATTAAAAGTAGGGGTTGGCAGTTACCGTTACCGTTCCCGGGTAACGGCCCGTTACCAGTTACCCGGGAACGGGGTAACGGTAGTACAATTGGGGCCACCTTTAGATCCTAAAGTCGTACTATTGGGGGACACCCTTAGGTCCTCAAGTGCTACTATTGGGAGACACCATTAGGTCCTCAAGTCCTATTAATGGGGAGTACTGTTGGGTCCTCAAGTCCTATTATTAGGGGGTACCCTTTGACCCTCAAGTCCTATTATCGGGAGATACCCGTACGTCCTCAAGTCCTATTCTTGGAGGGTACCCTTGGGTGTTCAAGTTCTATTATTGGGGGTACCCTTGGGTCCTCGAGACCAAATGCCTAAGCAGTATATTCGCCGTATGGAACTGAGTAGGACCCCATACATATGCCCATCAATCGATAGAGCATCCTCGATAACCCTATGATTGGCCCGAACATGGCTATGCCTTGTCCGAACAATAAGAGAAAAAAGGCCTCCTGAAATCTGATTGGTCTATTTTTGGACCAATGAAATAGCGGGATTCTATTTCTCAGTGATGGGATTGGCGGAGACCCCAACATATACCCATCAATCGATAAAGCATCCTCGAGAACCTTATGCTTGGCCCGAACATGCCCATCACTTGTCCTCGCAATAGGGGCAAAAGGTTTGAACCCCCTTGGGTACCTTCCAGTAGTCAGACTTGAGAACACAAGAGTACCCCGGTTGGTAGGACTTGAGGATCCAAGAGTAACCCGGTTGGTAGGACTTGAGGATCCAAGAGTAACCCGGATGGTAGGACTTGAGGACCGATAGGTGTCCTGCAGTAGTACTACCGTTACCCCGTTCTCGGGTAACTGGTAACTTCTTCCGTGTGAACCGTTACCGTTACCGGGTAACTGTCTGGGAACGGTAACTGCCGACCCCTAATTAAAAGACGAATCTTTAAAAAATCTAGGTCTGAATAATGAAAACTGAAAGAGATATTCACAAAATCCTGAGTATTAGAAATCTGATATTCGACCTTTTCCTTTGTTTATTTTCAAAATCAGAAAATGTCCTTACACACACGTAGATATTTCACACTCTACACACTCTATATGCACTTAAAAGAAAACATATATATATATATCTATATATACAGTTGATCAAAAAAGTATCCGACCACCCCGTTTTAGTTTCATTCAAAGACTTTATTCAAATAAACCTTTTAGAAATTTGGACTCTTGTGAAGCTCATGTATGGCAGAGAACTTTGTTTACTCTATCCAATGGAGATATTTGGAGAAGAAAAGCATTTTTTTTCGCAAAATGATGAAATTTTCAAGAAAAATAAGTTCCTGCTAAATTTGGGGAAGAACTTCAATCGAAAAACTACTTATGCATTTTTGTAGAATAGCTCACCGCGCAGCGATTGGTATATATCAAATTGCATTTTCATCGATTTCTGATGCATTAAGAATCCAACTATTAGTTTGAAGACATACAATGAGTATACGTATACAAGCACCTTATACCCGTGCCTAATTTTTATCCCTTTCCTTGCATGAGAGCAGACACTACAAAAGTTCCTTTTTCACTGGTGGATATCCAGATGAATTCTACAGCAACACTAGAAAAAAACCAAGATCAAAGATCCTTTCTACAATTATTGACCAATTTCTCAATATCAACGATGGATTTTCGTGCATGTATCGAATGATTATCTCTACATTGAGCTTTTTTTCACATACACGGATTCTTAATGCATCAAAAATCGATGAAAATGCAATTTTATATATACCAATCGATGTACTCTGAGCTGCTCTACGAAAATGCATAAGTGGTTTTTCGATTGAAGTTCTTCCCCAAATTTGGCAGGGACTTACTTTTCTCGAAAATTTCATCATTTTTCGAAAAAAAAAATGATTTTCTATTTCGAATCATAGTGCTTTTCTTCTTCAAATCCCTCGACTGAATAGAGCAAACAAAGTTCTCTGCCATACATGAGTTTCACAAGTGTCTAACTTTCTACAAGGTCTATTTAAATGAAGTCTTTGTATGAGACTAAAAGAGAGTGGTCGGATACTTTTTTGACCAACTGTATATATCCAGGGAAAGAAAAGAGAATAGAATATATCTGAAGGTGCAGCCTCTAACACTGAGATACCGTTTATTCTGAGCCAACCGTTAGTATGCTTAACCCTAGTGCTACCAGCCTGGGTCATGTTTGTCCCGTTTTTCAGACCTTCTTCTCAAAAATCGAATTTCGCACCAAGTCAAGTGAAATAACCTAATATTTTCAGGATATGTTGTAGCGGTAGTGGGAAGGCTATGGTAAAATTTTCACGTCTATATCATGACGTTTTAGAGAAATACTAACCAAATAATGGTCAAAAAAAGCTCATTTGGCAACCCAAATTTCTCTTTTGTTACTTATACAATACATTTAATATTTTTTTTGTTCGAAAGAGCATGTCAAGGTGCAGGACATGACGGAGTTCTTCTTTTAAATTAAGAAGAGCTTGGTCATATTCTGCATCCTGACATGCTCTTTCGAACAAAAAAAATATTAAATGTATTGTATAAGTAACAAAAGAGAAATTTGGGTTGCCAAATAAGCTATTTTTGACTATTATTTGTTTAGTATTTTCCTAAAACGTCATGAGATAGCCGAGAAAATTTTACCATAGTCTCTCCACTGCGGCCACAACCTATCCTAAAAATATCAGTTTATTTCACTTGACTTGATGTGAAATTCAATTTTTGAGAAGAAGGTCTGAAAGACGAATAAAAAATGACCCAAGCTGGTAGTACTAGGATTAATATAACTTCTTCGTTTATATTGTATTGAGTGTTCTTTAATACTCATAACCACGGTGATTATTATTTTTTTTATACATATGAAAATAAATGAAATATAAATTTCTATTCCAAATTCTATGAAAAATTAATCATACATGTTATGATCAACACTTAGACAAGCATAGTAAAGTTTCTATTTGTATCGGTATATGATAGAAAACTGAAAGCCATCATAAGCAGGGTTACTCGATCGATAGGATTTGAGCTACTCAATTCAATCTATGACCAAGAACAAAAAAAACATACAATCAGATTGGAAACCACCCACAAAATCCCAGGTCGAAAAATCAGACGGTAAGATCTTACAAGATCATACCCTTTGCTCTTATATGATCTTATAAAATCAGATGAAAAAACGTACGGAAAATCGTTGTTCCTGAAATCTTGAGTCACTTCGTATTACAAGATTCTTGCAAGATCTTACTACCTGGTAAGATTTCAGGAGCGACGATTTTTTGTACGATTTCGTCTAATCATATAAGGTCTTACGTGTGATTTTTTGACCTGGGACCTTATGAAAGGATTATGGGTGACTCATGCATCCGAGACAAAAATGATTTCCAGTGTATCTGTTTCTAACCCATTCAACATATCCAGTGTGATTGATTTTTATCGATAGCTTAAATATGCGTGCTTGTATTTCTATGTGTACAAAGTTTACACTTTTTGTAAATGTATGCATTACTTTTCATTCACTCAATTTATGTCGAAAGAAGACTGCTGAAAATAAAATTGTAGAAAGTTAAAATGTTGAAAAGTTAAAATCTCAAACAGAAAAAATACTGAAAGTAAAATTATCGAAACATACCTTGTTTTGCTATTTTCATTGTTTGAAATTCGTGTAGGATATGGAAATATGAGTGCTCGATAACTGATATGAAAATGAGACTATGAGCCAATTGGTGTGATATGATAGCCCCGTAATCGTTCTTATTAAGGCCTGCCCCACCCTAAAATGTCGATTTTGGTCAAATTTTTTCGATTTTTTTATTTATAGCGCATTTGACAGAGCAAAGTCTCCCCTACCGAATGCACTATAGTTTATGGGTTTTATGATGAGTTTTCACACTATAAATTCAATTTTTCGGCAACCTCCTATTGTGGAAAATAACACTTTTTTTTCAAAAACTGCCGATTTTTCGCAGTGATGGCTATAGTTTGCATGTATCGCTAAGTATAATAGCTTGATACATACTGTTACTCGAGAATATATATAAACGACAGAATGGGATGAACATATTGACCACTCATGTGTAGCTCAATTTTTATTGGGAGAATAAGTATCTGCTATCGAGGTGACCCCTGATGATCATGTTAGCTTTCAATAGTCTACTTTTCTACATCTGGCGCAATCATCATTGTTAACAATATTGCTCAACGTCTAGCATGACTATCGTTCTTTGTACTATTGTTCAACACTCCTGGCGTAATCATCATTCTATGTGCTATTGTTCAACATGTGATCCTATGTCCATATGCATACACACACTTTTTCATTTTCATTTTTCATTTTCATTTCATTTCACACCAATATAAAACGTATATATTTTTAAAGACAAGAAAAATCGTAAATAAAATAAAATATCTTATTTGTGATCCCTTTAATATATTTGTTGATTAAAATCAGTTGTCAAGTGTATTTTCAGCAGTAAGTGATGACTATTTTTCGTAATATAATATGTTATATGTTGTTAGTCGTAAAAATAGGTTTCAATGGGTAAAAGAAATATTTGCTACAAAAAGAAAAGTAAAGGATTAATTATGAAACGAATTCGTCCAGATAATCTAAAGAGGAAGAGAGACCATTCATCATCATCAAGCACCAACGAAGAATCAATGATGTCCGTGCAAAGTCAGTCCACATCAAACAAACAGAATGTTGAAGATAATTTTAATTTTAATTTAATTATACATATGAATTCTTTGATTTCATTACTAAAACAATATTTATGTTCAGGTTGCAATAAATTTTGGGACGGATCCACAACTATCAAAGAACGCAATGGATTATATATGCAGCTTGAAATCATGTGCTATAATTGTAAATCTCGCAGTCGTTTATATTTATCACCGAAAATGCCAGCTGGTGGACATCATGAGATTAATATTCGGTTAGGTATTGGTGGTACTCTATGTGGATTAGATCGTACTGGAATCATGAATTTGCTAGATGCTTTAAATCTACCATCACCGATTCAGAAACACAAGTACCGTGAAACACAAGAATTTATTTTGAACTATGTTGAAAAAGCTCAAGAACAATCAATGATTACTGCTGTTGAAGAGGCTGTCGTTGAAGCTGATGGTGTACGAGATTTAGTAGCAAGCGGTGATGGTGCATGGCTTACTCAGGGACACTCTAGTCTGCATGGAATCGCTACTTTATGTTCAACAACAGCCAATCGAAAAGTTATAGATACTAATTGGTGTTCTGAAACATGGACTAAGTATGAAGGGGCAGAAAGTCTACGTCAAGTTAATTTTGATTTATTTAAAACATTTCAGGAGAATCATGAATGTCAATTGAATTTTACAGGTACCTCTTATGAATTATACAATACTTTGTCATAAGTTTTTCTAATTTAAGAACATCAGGTGCAAAGAAAAAAGAAATGATTCATGAAATGTTTTGCCGATTCTTATCAATATATAAAATTAAATATACTTCATATATTGGAGATGGTGATGCTAAAGTTCATAGTTTTCTAACAAGTAATCCTCCATATCCTGGTGTTACTATAAAAGAACTTGAAGATACAAATCACATTGCAAAACGGATGTTGAGTCGCATCAAAAAGATCAAGCAAGAGAATGGGAGTAAAATTTTGTCTGACGGTAAAAGATTTAGCGGAAAAGGATAGATGATTGATGCTCATGCAATCAAATTTAAAATTTATTTTGCTAGAGCAATACGCAAATCTAAGTTTGATTTAGATAAACTTTATAAAAAAATCATGGACTAGTTTCAAACATCATTATTCGACGGATAAGGAACCAATGTATGATTGATGTGACCTTCAATGGTGTAAGTACTTGCAAGCAAAATTAAATGGTCAACAATTTTCTCATAATTCAAAATCAACCATTCCAAGAGCATGCTCGGATATGATCAAGCCCGTATTTCACGAGTTGTGTTCTCAAACTAGTTTGGCACGTGTAGTGGCTGGTGGATCACAAAACGCCAATGAGACATTTCATTCATTACTATGGACAATGGTTCCTAAGCACCGCTTCTGTTCATCAATCATTCTTCGTATCGCATTAGGTTTATCCATAATAATTTATAACGATGGTTATGATTCTTTAGACGCATTATTTACAAACATTTTCTTGTCTATATGATATTATTCTGCTGAGTGTTTTAGTCGTCTTACTTCGATGAGAAAATGTTCCAATTTAGAAGTAACAAACAGACGTAAGAAAAGAACAACTGCTGCTGCTAATAATTCTTGCATTGAAAGCGATGATGAAATGTTATTCATGCTTAATGATAAAAATTCTGTTGATATTACTCAAGATTTAATAGGATTGGAACTAACAGATGATGATACAAATACTGACTATGAACCTGGAGAAGATGATTAACTTTTTATAGCATATCATTATTTATCTAAGATTTGTTACAAACTAGTTGATAAAATTTGCCCGAATATAATCATTTGTGAGAGAAATTCAACATGTTTTCATCTATTTCAGACAATTTGAAAATACTATTATTATATGATATAAAATTATCGATATAAATTCAGATGATTTATTTCGTATCATACCAAGCAGTTCTCAGTGATTCGACTATGCACATAACATGACCATATGAAACAAATAAAACTTTTTCCATAAATCTCTGCATGCGTCTACTGAGTTCGTTTTAACCAATGATCTATGGAGAATCCCTAAAAAATTTATTTTATCCCATACTACCGTAGAAAAGTCTTCAATTTCATTTCTCAATCTTCTTTTACGTTTTTCTCAAAATAGGTTTTTTTGTTGTAACACTTTCGTATTTTCCAAATCCTTTCGCCACTTTAAATGCTTGAGAGTTCGAGTTGGTTTCAAAATACAGGGCGTGATTAGCTCTACAACTTAACAGAGGCGAAATTTTAGATTTTATGTTTATTGTCTCATGAGACTCAAATGTATCACAATACACGCACTATCATTACCATACATTATAAGATAAGCTTGAATAAAAAAAAAAAGAAAAACGAAAATTAAAATTTGGGCTCTGTTCAGTTGTAGTGCTAGGTCTTTAGTATATTTTAAAACCAACCTGAGCTTTCTAGTATTTGAAATGTCAGCGGGATTTAGGAAACGCGGACCCCTCCATTTTGAACAGTAATCTTGAGGTAAAACTCGGTAGACTTAATATTTTGAACTGAAATTTTTACTGTGAGCTATTTGGAATGAGATACACCTCCTCTGGAAATTTCGGCAACATTGGATGATCAAAAGCAGAAATAAGAATTCGGATGGGGGGTAATTGATTACATCATTCATTTTATCCTTAATCGGAACACGAGTTTTCAGAAAGAAGATAAGGACGATCTGTCATTCTCGTCATCTCCCTCAACCTCAAAACCTACACGGACAACATTTATACAAAATCGCATCAACGCTTTGTATAGTCAACATAATGATGGCATAATCAGTTCATCATATCTTCTTTCCAGCTTGTCATGTATTGTTGAAACGCAAAAGATAGATGTGGAAAATATGTACCATTCAAGTTACTTTGTTCATTAAAATTGCTCCATATGTCATCTTAGCTCGTTGTAAAAAAGGAATACTTTTTCTTTATCAATATAAATTCTACAAATGAACCAAATATATCAAATCCTTTATCATCCACTAAATAATAATTTGCACTGTCTCGACGTTTCAATAAGTCGATATTTTTATCTTTTGATATTTTTACACTACAGCATATGTATCTATCGACATTTTTTTCAGCCTGTCTATCTGCAAGACTTTTAGTTTTCGAGTTTTGACTCTCTACATTTTTATCATTCGGCATCTCTCCCATTCCTTTTCCATAATTATCTTTCCAGCCAAAGCAGCATTTATCCTATTGTCCAAGGATGAATATAACAGACTATGAAAAGATATTCAAACCTTTGGCTAAAGAAAAACTAGCCACTGCAGACTGGCTTCCAGTCACCGCCACGATCGCGCCTGTAACTCTGATGCCTTTGAAGATACCTACAACTGGCACCAGAATCATTCGTAAAAACCATCACTTCTTCCATCTCTCCAAACAGCTCACTCTCACGAATAATAACAAGCCAGCTGTACTAAGGATATAAGTTCGCAATAATCCACACTTCTTCTTCTAACAATCTTCGATAAGTCTCCCATTTCAAATAACGGTGTTATGTCCAGATATTCACCGATCTCATCACATAGTTCGACATACTATCTGAATACCTTACTTATTAATTACCGTTTCATTCTGTTTCACATACCAAACAAATTTAACCAAAGAAGATGGTATTCATATCTGTTACCGAATCCCATCCGAAGCCACGACATTAATATCATTAACCATCTTCGTATACAATGTAAATGCTGCCAAGACCGATGTCATACCGTTGTTGCTTCACTTTTCACCGATAAGAATAAATTAAATACCGAAAGCAAACAAACTATAGCAAGTAAATAGTGCTCACCAAGGATTGATTCTACTATATTCATCACGCCCATACAAAGCCATAGCTTTAGCATCCTCATCGACGCACCATTCCTACCGGCTTCTTCCTACCAATCTGCTTCTCACCTATTCCGTTCATTGCCCACTCGTCACCGCACAATACCAATCTTCCTCTCACCTCACATAAAACCGGAATTAATCATACATACTTTCATTTATCTACATCACGATTTCCATAACAAAACAACACCTTCATCTCTTCATAAACAATGACCCGTCACACGTACATCTCGCTTAAAAACTTCATTCAACTATCTTATCCCTTTTCCAGAGAAGAAATGCCACCAATACTTTCACCAAACCTCAAACAACCAACGACGACTACTAACAAACACACAATTCATCTCTTTAATTCCCTTCAAAGTAGTAAAATGATGTTGAATCTGTGAGTAAACATCATGTGACAAATGAATACTATTCATAAACATACTATTCATCTCTTTGATTCCGTTCGAAGTTGTAGAATGACCCTGAATCTATGAGTCAAAATCATATGACAAATAAATACAATTCATTAACATTCCATTCCTCTCCTTCATTCGCTTCGAACTGGCAGAATGATGTTGAATCTACGACTAAACATCATATGAAAAAAAAATTCTATTCATCAACACTCAATTCATCTCTTTCATTTCCTTCGAACAGGTACAATGATGTTGAATTTAAGAGTAACCATCAAATGACAAATGAATACTATTCAAGAACATTCTATTCACCACTTCGATTCGCTTCGAAGCCGAAGAATGACTTAGACTCCATGAGTAAAACTCATCTCACGAATGAATACCATTCACTAACCTTCTATTCATCTGTTCGATTCTCCTCGAAGTGGAAGAATGATGCCGAATCTATGAGTAAGGATAATATGACAAATGAAAACTATTCAGCACCACTCAATTCATCTCCTTGATTCGCTTCCAACTAGTAGAATGATGTTCAATCTACGAGTAAACATCATACGACAAACGAATACTATTCACTAACATTCAATACATCTATTCGATTCGCTTCAAATTCGTAGATTACTTTTCAATCTATCAGTGAACATCATATGACACATGAATACTAGTCACAAAAAATCTATTCATCTCTTTGCTTCGCTTCGAAGTGGTAGAATGATGTTGAATTTATGCGTAAACATCCTATGACAAATAGATACTAATCATGAACAATGCATTTATCTCTTTCTTGCGCTTCCAAGTGGTACAAAGATGTTGAGTCTACGATTAAACATCATATGACAAATGAATATTATCCAGCAACATACTATTCATCTCTTCGATTCGCTGTGAAGCGGTAAAATCATGTTGAAACTATGAGTACACATCATATGACAAATAAATACTATTGAGGACGATTCTATTCATCTTTATGATTCGCATCGTAGTGCTAGAATGATGTTGAATGTATAAGTAAACATCATATGACAAATGAATACTATTAACAAAAACTCTATTCATGCCTTTGATTAGCTTCAAAGTCGTAGAATGTCGTTGAATCTATCACTAAACATCATATGACAAATCAATACTACTCAGAAACACACTATTCATCTGTTAGAATCTCTTCGAACTGCAAGAATGATGTCAAATCCATCAGTGAGGATAATATGACAAATCAATACTATTCACCACCATTCTATTCATCTCCCTGATTCGCTTCCAACTGGTAGAATGATGTTCACTCCACGCGTAAACATCATCTGATAAATAAATACCATTCAGAAAGATGGAATTCAACCCTTTGACCCGCTTCGTACTGGTAGAAGGCCGTTACAACCATGAGTAAACATCATATGACAAATGAATACTATTCACCAAGATGCAATTCATCTCTTTGATTCCCATCGAAGTCGTAGAATGATGTTCAATCTACGAGTAAACATCATATGACAAATAAATACTATTCACAAAGACTCTATTCATCTCTTTGATTCACTTCGCAGTGGTGAAATGATGTTCAATCTATAAGTAACCATCATATCACCAATGAACAGTATACACCAACACTCATTTCATTACTTTGATTCGCTTCCACGTGGTAGAATTATGTTGAATCTATGACTAAACATCATACGATAAATAAATACTACTCACAAAGACTTTATTCATCTCTTTCATTTGCTTCCAAGTGGTAGAATGATGTTGAATCGATGAGTAAACATCATGTGACAAATGAATACTATTCATTAACATTCTGTTCAACCCTTTGATTCATTTCCAAGTGGTACAATGATGTTGAATCGATGAGTAAACATCATGTGACAAATGAATACTATTCATCAACATTCTGTTCATCCCTTTGATTCGTTTCCAAGTGGTACAATGATGTTGAATCGATGAGTAAACATCATACGAAAAACAAATTCTATTCAGAAACATTCTGTTCATCTCTTTGATTCGTTTCCAAGTGGTACAATGATGTTGAATCGATGAGTAAACATCATATGACAAATAAATACTATTCATTAACATTCTATTCATCTCTTCCATTCGCTTCGAAGTGGTAGAATGACGTTCAATCTATGAGTAAACATTATACGAAAAAAAAATTCTATTCAGCAGCATTCTATTCATCTCATTGATTCGCTTCAGAGTGGTAGAAGGATGTTGAATCCATGGGGAAACATCAGATGACAAATGAATACTATTCAGGAAGATGCAATTCATCACTTTGATTCGCTTCGAAGTGGTAGAATGATGTTGATTCTATGAGCAAGCATCATATGATAAATAAATACTATTCACAAAGACTCTATTCGTGTTTTTGATTCACTTCGAAGTGGTGAACTGATGTTCAATCTACGAGTCGACACCATATGACAAATGAATGCTGCGCAGTAACATTCTATTTACCTCTTTGATTCGCTTCGAAGTGA